AAAGATAACATCACACTTAACCCGGAAACTGAGGGCAATCAATACTAGATTGTACTCCAACCTATCGTTTTTTATTCTGTTCCTTCAGGGGACTGAGCCACCTGACCTCACAGTTGGTGCCATTTTACTCTTTCAGTGACTGTAAGGAACATTTGTTGGAAAGCAGCTGCATCTGAAGACATGTAGAATTCAGGTTTATTATCAGGTATGCTCTTCATCCATTTCCCACTTACTAACCAGAAATCCAAGCAGCAGCGAAGCTTCCTATTATGTCTAAACAGAACTTCTGATCTAAAGGTTCCTTAAAAAGAGTAAGACAGCAGAGTTTGAATGTTGGTTTTCTGGGCCTACTCTGCCAGTTGTATAAGAGCTCAAGCTCTCAGTGTGCATAAATAGGAGGTGGTAATGAATTTATGCCTACATGAGAGTGACTTCAAATCTTCCTTTTGTATAAAACAGAACATTGAAAAATTATGTTTGGTATAGAAATGGAGCTAAGGTATTCAGACTTGCTGAAGCGTGTGTGTTTAAGCAATTTCCGGAATCACCATTTTATGGGTGGAAGGCGATTGCAAAAAGTTGGAAGTACTACTGTTTTCAGAGTCTGCTTTATTAACTCAAATTTAGAGTTTAACATATTGTGTGAACCAGTCATCTTCTGAATGTAAACTCTCAATGGGTTAAATCAAAGAGTATATCTGGTCCTCTGTCAACAATGCTAGATAATTCTAAATTCTAAAATGGTGGTGCCTTGCTTGGCTGTGGCTGGTTTGGCTCTCAAGAGTGTTGGGGTTTTGGAGATGAAAATGCCATCCAGTGATTCTTTGGGAATTGTGACAAGAAAGCTGAAATCTATTACCAAACTGTTATATGACCATCATTCTATATTGGATTGGTGATGTTTAGCAAGAGAGGAACTATTGATAAAGCTGTTCTGGAGAGTCTGTGTTGCTTCAGACTACTTTGGTTGAAGGTGCAAGCAGCGGAAGTGTTAGTGGTTGTTCAGAGGCTGTGAGATCAGTTACAATCTCTGAAAGTGCTAAATGCTTCGGGCAGTGGAGGCAGCGGGGAGCAGCAGCCTTTGAAGCAGGGAAGCCTCCCTTGGGCTCTGAATGTCTTTTGAGGTGGAGACCGTGTGATTGAAAGAGGAAACGAGGCAAAGATGGAGGGCTAACACCAGGCTAAAGGCTAATCCATATAGTGTATTGCCACTATCTATTTTGTTTACTAATGTGTTCCTTAGAGTCTAAAATCATTTACATGAAGCTATGGTTAATAACGAAGCAGCAGGTGAGAAACTGCTGTGTCACCATTGCAACGGAAACTTGGTTAAAGCATTCCATCCTGGATAGTGCTGTTAGCTTGAGCGGATTTTCAACATTTTGGTTTATTTTCTTTTAGAGTGGGAATCAGAATTACATTTTTTAATGTGTGCAAGTGGGTTCACAGAAAAAAATGACAATAAAGGCTATCTTGTCTCTTAACATAGAATTCAATCAGACAGACAGTCATGGCCGTAAATGTTGGCACCCCTGAAATTTTTCCAGAAAATGAAGTATTTCTCACAGAAAAGTATTGCAGTAACACACGTTTTGCTATACACATATTTATTCCCTTTGTGTGCATTGGAACAAAACCAAAAAAGGGAGGAAAAAAAGCAAATTGGACATAATGTCACACAAAACTCCAAAAATGGGCTGGACAAAATAATTGGCACTCTTTACTTAATATTTGGTTGTACACCCTTTGGAATAAATAACTGAAATCAGTTGCTTCCGATAACCATCAATAAGCCTCTTACACCTCTCACCCGGAATTTTGGACCATTCTTCCTTTGCAAACTGCTCCAGGTCTCTCTTATTGGAAGGGCGCCTCTTCCCAACAGCAATTTTAAGATCTCTCCACAGGTGTTCAATGGGATAGAGATCTGGACTCATTGCTGGCCACTTCAGAACTCTCCAGCGCTTTGTTGCCATCCATTTCTGGGTGCTTTTTGACGTATGTTTGGGGTCATTGTCCTGCTGGAAGACCCAAGATTTCCGACGCAAACCCAGCTTTCTGACACTGGGCTCTACAGTGCGACCCAAAATCCCTTGGTAATCCTCAGATTTCATGATGCCTTGCACACATTCAAGGCACCCAGTGCCAGAGGCAGCAAAACAACCCCAAAACATCAGTGAACCTCCACCATATTTCACTGTAGGTACTGTGTTCTTTTCTTTGTAGGCCTCATTCCGTTTGCGGTAAACAGTAGAATGATGTGCTTTACCAAAAAGCTCTATCTTGGTCTGGACGTTTGCCCAGAAGGATTTTGGATTACTCAAGTACATGTTGGCAAACTGTAGTCTTGCTTTTTTATGTCTCTGTGTCAGCAGTGGGGTCCTCCTGGGTCTCCTGCCATAGCGTTTCATTTCATTTAAATGTCGACAGATAGTTCGCGCTGACACTGATGCTCCCTGAGCCTGCAGGACAACTTGAATTGCTTTGGAACTTGTTTGGGGCTGCTTATCCACCATCTGGACTATCCTGCGTTGGCACCTTTCATCAATTTTTCTCTTCCGTCCATGTCCAGGGAGATTAGCTACAGTGCCATGGGTTGCAAACTTCTTGATAATGTTGCGCACTGTGGACAAAGGCAAATCTAGATCTCTGGAGATGGACTTGTAACCTTGAGATTAGTGATATTTTTCCACAATTTTGGTTCTCAAGTCCTCAGACAGTTCTCTTCTCCTCTTTCTGTTGTCCATGCTTAGTGTGGCACACACAGACACACAATGCAAAGACTAAGTGAACTTCTCTCCTTTTTATCTGCTTTCAGGTGTGAGTTTTATATTGCCCACACCTGTTACTTGCCCCAGGTGAGTTGAAAGGAGCATCACATGCTTGAAACAATCTTATTTATCCACAATTTTGAAAGGGTGCCAATGATTTTATCCAGCCCATTTTTGGAGTTTTGTGTGACATTATGTCCAATTTGCTTTTTTTCTTCCCTTTTTTGGTTTTGTTCCAATACACACAAAGGGAATACACATGTGTATAGCAAAACATGTGTTACTGCAATACTTTTCTGTGAGAAATACTTCATTTTCTGGAAAAATTTCAGGGGTGCCAACATTTACGGCCATGACTGTATATAACCCTCTCTCTTCTTCCCTCTCTCTTCAATATACGCTTTTACTATTCATATAATATGGACCAGCCAAACCTGAAAATATAAAGAAACTTTTAACCATTAAACATACTTAAAATAAAGGAGAGATAGAGATAATGTTCCAGTTTTGAATTGTGAGTTGCCTAGACCAGCTTTTTCCCAATGTGGTATTCTTCTACTACAGATCTAAGATTTAGCATTGCAACAGGATGAACAAGATGATATGCCTCCATTTTGTTACGTGATCTGCTACTGAACAATCTTATGCTGAACAAATACTGAAATTCTTATTCAGAATTATCCATGGAAAGAATAAGCCATGATTTTTAAATGTAAAGAAACCTGTAATCACAGTTTAAAAAGAAAAATAAATAGAATTTGAAACCTAGGATAAGGAAAATTGAGAATGTAGGACAGGGATATATATCGTGGTGGGATTCAGCCAGTTCGCACCACTTCAGGAGAACCGGTTGTTAAATTTCTGAGCAGTTTGGTGAACTGTTGTTGGAAGAAATCATTAGGGCAGAGAACTGGTTGTTAAATTAGTTGAATCCCACCACTGGATATATACATGTTAATTAAAACAAGCAAAGATATGAGAACAGTAAGAATGCTTCCTTAGTTTTTACAGACTCTTAAGTAGATCATAAAATGTTTTCCCGAAAATAAGACCCTGTCTTATATTTTTTTGAACCTTGAAATAAGCACTTGGCCTTATTGCCATGTGCTCAAAAACCCAATTGGGCTTATTATGGGGGGGGGTGTCTTATTTGGGTGGGTGGGTGGGAAACAGGGTAACATTCTAGAATATTGTTACTCATTATTGTCATTTAAAAACTTGTTGCAGTTCTGTTGGAAAAGCCATTTAATTTTAATTGGATTTACACTGTAAATGACTCACTCTCAACATAATACTAGAAAAAAATGCAGTAATTCAAGTATGGGTACTTCCTATTTTGGTCCACCCAAATTTCCCAGGAAATCTGGAGTAAAATTATAAAAACAAATAATTTACAACTGAACATCTGCCTCACAAAAGGAAACTGAACATAAAGTATAGAGTGATAATTTCCATCTGTAGAATAAGGGGGAAAAAATCCACCAGTGTCAGAATTATTATGAAGAATGAATATTTTAGAATACAGAATCACAGACAATAATATGAATTGATGTATTTTTAAATCATATTTTAAGAAAATTAGAAACAAAATCTGTCTAGCCACTCCCTACCCATCTAAACATAGGTGCAGTGAGGGTAGCTTAAGGTAGCCCATCTGGGCTTCTTGCTTGGAGACTGTTTGGCATTCCTTGCCGTCTTGCTTCATATTTCTGAACAATGGTTTCACAGGCGAATGGAACGCAGAGGTAAACGAAAGCCTGCCTCTCAGAGAAGATAGATATTCTTTGCCCAATCAAGCACAATGCTTTGCTTCTGCTGCCACATGCCCAGACAATGAACTTGTTAAAAAAATAATAATCCTATATGCTGTAGTGCAGGGGTGTCAAACTCAATTTCACTGAGGGCCACTGAGGGTTGTGTTTGACTTGCCCACTGGGGGGGGGGCTGGCGGGCATGGTCAGGGTGGGTGTGGCCAGTTCGACGTCACTCGTGTCAGGGGCCCATGTGGTGGCCTTGCGGCCCTCCCAAGCTCTGTTTCACTGGCAGAGGCACTGCGGGCCAGTCCTTTGCTGTTTCCAGGGCAGCCCCACGGGCCAGATCTAAGCACCCTTGGGGCAAATCCGGCCCCTGGGCCTTGAGTTTGACACCCCTGCTGTAGGGATAAACACTATACCATGGACATATACTGAGTTTGTCACAGAATCCTATTGAAAAGAAATGTCTACTTACTGGTACTCGGAAAGGTGATGTATTTGAAGTATCTGTGGGATTGCTTGTTCCAGAGATGCTCCGTCTTCGAGGAGATGTCTCTGGTGGAACCTCTGAGACAAGACGATGAAAATAAATAAGGGAGAAAGTAAGTTTTTCCTTAAATAGAAACATCCTTCCCATTCCCTATACAAATCTTTTAATATAATGATTTTATTATATCAAACAATGAAATTATATATGTATAGTGTAGTTAACAATGTAATATAAAACTACAAGAAAAGAAATTTGGGGAAATTATATTAGAGCTAAAACAATTCCAGAAATGTTGAACAAACTGGTTAGAAGTCTCTTTTATTTTATACATTTTGCTCCTTGGTAAAATAAAGAATGCAAATTGATTAAGCAATCAGATATAGATTTATTTATCAAGGTCTCTAATCATTCTGTTGGCTATTCTTCATGCAGAAAATTATCATTCCCGATGTCAGGATAGATTTCAAATAAAGGGGATAGAATAGCATGCAAAACTCACTAACCCACCTTTTTGCACAGTACAATATGAAGAGAAGTTACACTTGTTAGTTCTTAATTCAGTAGTTCAAGAATTTAGTATCTCAGCATTTCATAATAAAATGATAATTTACAATGTTATTGGACAACTGAATAAAATATTATTTAATTAGTAGTTGAGTAAGTTCACTTTAGTTGTAAGCATGTTATGTATTCCCTTTTTACTCTTTTAAATTGAACTTTACTTCATTTTGACTTATTTTATGTAATTTGTTTAGAAATTCATCTTTATTTTTTCCTGAACTATATATGCCAAGAGGGCATAATTTTCTCCCAGAATATATCTACATTCTCCCAAACTCCTCCATTTGCCATGGAGTGGGCTGATGTAAACATTTAAGTTTTGGCTCATCAAACTGAAATTCCTAAAACAGGAAGTAATGGGCCGTTTCCTTGAAAGTTTTGTGGATACTGCTTCAAATTTCACCAAAATATAGCATTTAAAAACATGCTGCATACAGGTAGTCTTTGACTTACAACAGTTCATTTAGTGATTGTTTGAAGTTACAGTGACACTGAAAAAATGATGTATGACCACTTTTCACACTTACGACCATTGTAGCATCCCTGTGGTCACCTGATCAAAATTCAGATGCTTGGCAACTGACTCGTACTTATGGCAGTTGCAATGTCCCAGGGTCATGTGATCAACTATTGCACTCTTCTGATAAGCAAAGTCAATGGGGAAACCAGATCCTCTTAACAACCGTGTTCCTAACTTCCTAACAGCAGTGATTCACTTAACAATTGTGGCAAGAGAGGTCGTAAAATGGGGCAAAACTCATTTAACAAATGTTTTATTTAGCAACAAAAATTTTAGCCTCAATTGTGCTCACATGTCAACAACGACTTGTATTTAGATCAGGTAGTTGTTTATTTTAACCAAATTTGATTACCAAATTTCAAAAAAGGAAACATATTTATATCTGGTGCCCTGTAAAACTTCGTTTAAAAATTCAAATCTGGTTTCAGGTATGCACTTTATAAATGTCAGAATTTTTTCCAGCTCAAAGATTTTGAAGGTTCCTCTTAGCTATCTAGTTCTGCATTACTCTGAAGGAACTTTTAATTCTTAATGCCTATGTGTTGGATACAGAACATAGTTTGCTTTCACTCTTTCAGCTGATGCGCAACACGAATCACAAAAATAGCAAGGCTAGACTTCCATAAGGTCTAGGGTGGGCCATTTCCCGCTTTATGAGAAAAATGGTGACTCCAGGTTCTCAGAGTTTTCATTAGAATGATGGAAAAATACTGTCCTTTTTGGGTAACATCTCAATATATGCAAAAAAAAAAAAAAAAGGGAGCTTGTGTGATAGCTCAATGTTACTGCACACATACATACCCTTCGCATATATCAATGCATCGGTTCTTCTGTTTCCTACAGCCTACAGTGACATTTAGCAAATTTCGCAGGTAATCCCATCAGGAACCCACACCTAACCATCAATTCAATTTTTGACCAGTTAGGAAATCTCATCTTGCAAAAATGCTTGTCTTGATCCTTTCTGCTTAGGTACACCAGTATTCCTGCTTTAGCCCAGATTCCAGTTTTTGGACTCCGGCATAACATTATTTTTCTGCCATCCTTTCCTTCCACATCACAGGTTCTACTCTGCAACTCATAACCATGGTGACAGCTGTTGGGGAAAATGCCTGGCTTGCAAAGCTACAATGTCATGCTATCACTACTGAGGCTCAGCAAAGGCTCCTGGGATTGTGTTGTATTAATGGCTTATTTTCTAATTTGCTAGCTTCTTGAAGCAGGACTAGAAATTGAGATAAACTCAGAAACATCAGACACAGGTGAAATCTTTTACTGTTGAGAACTTCACAGCAAGGAACAGATTAACAAGTCAGGCAGTGATTGAAGGGGAGGGGGAGAGAGAATATCTGCTGGAAATTCAGGGACAGGCAGACCAAATGGGATATGCCACACAGGGACATCAGTGGCACAAGTGGCATGGGAAGCAAGGAAAGTCCTGGCAAGACTTGAGGGGTTGGGGATATGTTGCAGTGAGATTGCAGAGAAGAGGGGAGCATCAAGGCACTGAGAAGGCCCAGCAGAGTCATTGACAAAGCAGGGATAGGCAGAAGGGCATAAGCAGTAGCTACCCAATTTATTCATTCCCCTGTAAAATCATTCCAGGATCCTTCCAGATGTGGTTCTGGCCAAAATTGGGAACAACAAAATGTTCCAGGTTACATTACTGCTGAACCACAATCAATTAAAAATGAATGGGCAAAACTCCCAATTGAACACTGCTATCATGTCTTCTCTAGTCCTCCTTTTCATATTTTTTTTAAAAAAATTGATTTATATGCCGCCCTTCTCTGGAGACTCAGGGCAGCTTACAATGCGTTAAGCAATAGTCTTCATACTTTTGTATATTTATACAAAGTCAGTTTATTGCCCCCATAATCTGGGTCCTCATTTTACCTACCTTAGAAAGGATGGAAGGCTGAGTCAACCTTGAGCCTGGTGAGAATTGAACTCGCAGTAATTGCAGGCAGCAGATGTAAGTGGATGTTAATTAGTCTGATGAGCCACCAGAGCTCCTATGGTCATTAGACTAGACATAGCCAATTCCTGTAACTGTTCTTTGTATGTTTTACACTCCAGCCCCTTAATCATTCTTGTTGCTCTTCTCTGCACTCTTTCCACAGTCTCAACATCTTTTGAAACTCTGAAAAGGCAGGCGTTGGGATGCCTGTCCAAATACAAACTCCAAACTCTTGCCCTTCTCCTTTGGGCAAAGCAGCTGAGACCGCCCAAATCAGCTCCCTTGGATCATTACTCACAGAAGGGTAGATACTCAAGACAATTGTTTGGTTCTCTCCTCCCTTCTGCAGACAGGAAAGAGCAAATACACTTCGGCAATTTAATCCCTCTTCCCAAATCATCAGTCACTTTTAGTCCATTAACAGGCGCCCCAAAGCTAGCACTCTTCTGTTATAGACACATTTCCTATGAAGAGTAAGGTTTGCCCGCCCCCGCCCCAAATAATTAATGACAAATGCTGTTGCTATGTGCTAAATTTGGATGGTAGCAAAATGTGTGTCTTTATTCCAATTCAGATGTAATCATCTATAAGAGAGAGATCTGTCTTATATTTGCTATTTGCTTATTCAGGAAAAATTGCCTGCCATCAACACAGCATGTCTGTTCTCCTGGGTTCTGTAGTCGTACCTGAAGAAACCTAAGGAACATAGCTCCAATTTTACCAGGAGAAAGATAGAGGAAAATAAACAGCTATTCATTCCTATGAACTTTGAGATAAACTCATAGGGCATGCTTTCACAATTGGACCCAAACCAGGTGTGAAATTCAGCAGGTTCTGACAGGTTCTGGAGAACTGGCAGTGGAAATTTTGAGTAGTTTGGAGTACTGGCAAATACCACCTCTGTCTGGCCTCAGAGTGGGGAGGGAATGGGCATTTTGCAGTATTCTTCCCCTGCCACACCCACCAAACCACACCACACCCACCAAGCCATGTCCACAGAATCAGTAGTAAAAAAATTTGGATTTCACCACTGAATGAAACTATTTTCTCTTCTTCCCATTGAGGCTAGATCGTGCTTTTGTATTGTTTTTACCTGCTTTTAAAACCAATCTTCCTCTCCCTCCAAGTATATTAAATAATTACAGTGGTGAGAATCTAAAACATAATCAATTGATGAGGGAGAGTTTAAAACTTTTAACTGGTTCATGCCCCATGGCTAATACATGAGTTGGAATGCTCAGCACAAGTTCACAAATTCATGTTCATATTCATCATGCCCTTGCAGCCTGGGAAAAAGACATGAAGCTAACCTTAATATTTGAAAATGGTTTGTTTCTGTGCAAGAGTAATAATATCTTGAAAAATGTCTACTTTCTACTGACAGCTCACAAAACAGCAAAGCTCTTTGTAATAAAGTTACAAACACTTCTTCCCTTTTAGCACATATACGAAGGCTCGCAGTTGAAAAACAATGTTAATATGGCATTAGTTGAGAATTTATAGAATTTGTGACTTGCAGTACTAGTTCTGGTAACAACTCTTGGAAATAATGCATATTAGATGCTCCCTTACACATACGGATGGCGGAGAGGCTAAGAGAGCTGGACTTGCATTCAGTTACCTATGGAGTTTGATCAGAAAGGTTTTAAGAACTGTGGGAAAATAAAACAAAAGGGCAGAGGCAATTCTCTTAACTCTTCTCACTATTCAATAAAAAAACAGAAGAAGGCTGCTTCACCTCCAATCCAATATTAACAAAAAATGTCTAAACAATTATCAGCAAGCTGCTCTGATAGCCACTATTTACATTGCTGAACTTCTTAACAGAATTGATCCAATATAGCCCATTAATAAGACAGAGAGAAGATATCAGAGTAACAAAGAAATTGGAAAAGTGCTCTCATGATTCAGTTCTCATGAGTAAAGTTTGGTTGGAATTTCAGGAACTGAAATCTGCATAAAACATATACAACCACAGAGTACACAATTGAGCTTACAAGAAGAGTTGGGCTAATTATATAAAGAGGGAAACAGAG